GTCGCGCCCGTACCGGACCGGGACCGGCAACGGGATCGCAACCCTCGGTGTTGCCGCCGCACCTCGCTCAGCCAGTGAGCAGGAACCGGTCTGTGTGTGGCATCCAAACCCTCGACGGGAGCGCCGCCGCGCTTCCCAAGCGGCGCACTGTAGCAGTGCACCACCGGGCCGGCCCAACAGTATGTTCTGATAGAAGAAAGTAAGGGATGTTCATCATCACACAAATATATTTCAGAAGTCTTCTAAGAAAATTACCGATATTTTAAAAATATCTATCAAAACCTAACAAATAATAAGTGTTTTAAAGTTAAGATGCAAGATGAAATCTCAAGTCTAAATCAATATCCACTGGATTTCCATTCTGAATTGCCGTTTAGCTAATGTACAATCATGTTTCATCACGTACAGTCACTTAGAAACTCTGTTTCGCTGCGTTAGGAAAGGCTTCCTAAAGCAGAGTGAAAATTTCCACTTTAATAAAGTAAGAGTTAAAAAAAGGCAAATAACAGCTTGGTATTCTTACGATACTTGGATTTTTACAGACTCAGTGAAAGTGTTAGGGACCTGTAAAGGACACCAGACTGCATTTTAAGAGCTGGCTTTCTCTGCCTCTTCCCAACAGACAAGGACAGGAAGCTTTCTTGGGTTACCTTGGATATCCCAATTATCTAGAACAGTGACTAGTATGTGAAATATAACATGAATGGAAAGATAGATAAAAACAACACTAATCTTTGCAGATGACTTCCCAGAGAATCCCTCTTCATAGTCTTCGTAGTCCCAGGTTAGCAGTGCCCCCAAATCAAATAAAATAAAAGCAGGGGAAGGGTTTGTGAAAAGTGACAAATGGAAGAACATAATAAGTATTCAATAAACGTTTCTTGAGTTGAAAGATTGAATGGTGGAGAAAACAAAATGAGGGAAGAGCTGAAAGATAGATCCAGAGGCAAAAAGACCTAAGAAGCCATTAAGATCAGTAGCACGAAAAACACAGGAGAAAGTGAAAAAAACTCATCTACCCCACACCACTCACCATGATATCTTAGGGCCGGAAAAGAAACTGTCGGTTCAGATTGGATTTCTCAATGGTGTCCATATCTGTAACTGTGATTTCCCTACCCTCCCCACAGCCTAGCCCAATCATGGTGAAGTTCTTGAGCAGCTCACAGCCAATGGCCCCTGCACCCACCTGGTGGGTGGCAAAGAGGAAACAGCTTGGTTACAGTGACTGACGGTAGCACAAAGCCACACACCACTCCTCATCCCCCTGAGGTGAGGAACAAGAGACAGCGAGACAGGGTAAGAGGATCTAGCACCACCTATTCAGCTCCCATGGCCATAAAACCTACAGTAATCTGAAGGAGGAGGCACTAGAAGAGTGAAACAAAGGAATGCATCATACTTTTCCTCAATGTGCAGAAAATAGAAAAGAGGATGGGATCAGGCCACAAGAACCAAAAGAACCTCCCTTGGGAGGCAAGAGGAGGTCTTAGAGGAGGAGGCTAGGACTCAGGGGAGGTGAAGTAGCAGATGTCCAACACAATCACTCACAAGGAAGTACTTCTGCTTGTCCAGCTTCTCTTGTACATCTGAGCCAAATATGGCTACCTGCCCGTTGTAACGATTCTGGTGCTGTCATCAGAAAAAGGAAGTTCAGAGAGGAACTGCCCCAGAGATGCTCCCAAAAATGTCTCTCCCATGGGCTCCACCCACATGCCAGAAAGCACGTGTCTTCCATAAAGGGCACTTTGTTCTCAGGAAGACACTCAAGGGCATCAAAGTATAGCCACTGCATGATGGGCATAAACTTCCCAGAGCAGGCCTGGGATGGAAAGATGGTTAAGTGGTTAATCAGAGCCTGACACAGGCTTGTGTCACACCAAGAGATGAAGTCAGTGAGGCACCTGCACCACAGCCTGCCATGCCCTTCCCTACACGTGCTGACCTTCATGACCTCTTGGGCAGCCAGACCCCCAATGAAGGTATTTATGGGTGCCACATCACCAGCAGCCACATATGCCAGCTTCCAGATGAGGTCCTCATCCAGGTTGTCCTGCTGCACTACTGGCAGAGCTTGAGCATTCACAGCCTGTGCTAGGGTCACCAGTTCTGCTGCATCCTCCTGGTGAGCCAGAAGGGACCAAGAGAAGACATGTCAGGTCAGTGGCGGAGGAGGGGGCGGGAGGGAGAAGGCAAGATAGATGAAGAGGGATGTCAGGGCTTCAGGCCAAGGACCCTGGCTGCCTCACCCATTTGTTCACCTCACTGTGGGGCCAAGGTGGCTGACTATGTTGAGTACAGAACTGAGCAGGGCCTGGAAGCCAATGTGTAGCTGGGCAGGGAGAGAATTCTTAGCAAGGTCTGTTACCACAAAGTTGGGCTCTGCCAGTGAGGCTAGCAAGGATTTCTGTGGAATGTGGGACATCAGGACCAGAAGTGTTAAAAACCCAAAAATACCTGGAGAACCCCATAGTTCACCCACCCACTCATACTCACAAAACTGATCTTCTTAGACACTTGGACCTGACTGACGATGCCTCCATGGATGTAGTCAGAGAAACTAGAGGTATCACAGATACTAAAAGTGTAGGGACCTGGGGATGAAAAAAATGGAAGGCAATCTGTCAGTCCAGTGGCCCTCCCACCCTGCCACCCAAGATCAACAGCACCACCAAAACAAAATTAAAAAGCCAGACTGTCCCAGCTCAAGCACTGGAGACCCCTGCCCCACATTCTGTTCTGACATCAGAGATCATTTCCCTTCTGCCCCATAGCTGGCTCCTCCCACATGGACCCTAGGCCTAATCGCCACCCTGGAGAACCTTCTGTGTTCAAGATCCCCTCCCAACTCAGACTTTAAGGGACCCTCTATCCTTTGCATCTAGGTCAGCATAGAAAGCAAGGAACATTCTGCTCGGACCCAAGGTATAAGGTCTTCTCTTGGTCCTTAGGGTTTAGCTCAGTACCGGAAAACCCATCTTCCCTAAGCTTCTCTGGTGCAAAACACATAAGAGATGTGTCTTTCCTCCATCCCAAACCCTTCAAACTCCAGGGAATTGTCACCCTGCAATCAGCAACTTGGACTGCAGGTACGTATCTATGCCTAGCTCATAACTCAGCTTAGATCCCTTTAGTTCAGTTTACACTACAGACATGTGTCACCTTTTGGTCTCTGAGTCAGCCCACACCACAGGGACCACTTTCATTTTGCTCTAGGTAACAACTTCTCACCCCCAATGTTAGCATACCCAGCACTTTGATCTCCATGGGGCAGGCGTCATTCAGTTCATTTATGCCCTGGACTTCAGTGAAGGAGATAAAATCACCACTCTCAAACCCATGTCGGGCCTCATCCAGGCAGGTGACAATGCCAGGGCTGTCCTGGTTGAAAGAGGCATAAGTTGTAGCGGCAGACTCCAGGTACCACCAGGTAGGGAGGACTATTGCTGCCCAGCCTCCTACCACAAACCGTGAGGTTTGCCTCCTTACCTTGGTGATTATAGAAACCACAGCACTAAGTGGTTGTTCCCCATTGGAATCCATGAGGATCATTTCCTCTCCAAAGTCACAAAAGAGTTGTCTGTAGAGGGAGGCAACAGGACTTGCACCTAAGACCCATGCACACAGGCACTCCGTGGTCCCTCAAGGTGTAGTGAATACCTGCCAAACAAACTCAGCCCAACACTGGTAGGAATTAGAGGGTGTTCACACCACATGGGGAGAATGAAACACAGAACTGAAAAGCTGGTTGGCTGAGTGTGCCATGAAGGCCATGGGAGCCTCTCAGCCTGGGTCTGGCAGTGGTTGGAAGGAAAAGGAAGAGGCAGGTACTCACCCAAACAGGCCCTGAGTGTCTCCCACCACCAGCTTGATTCCATGGCTGTGACAGAACTCACCGACTTGCAGCTGGTCCTCCAAAGGGGTGTTGGTAAGAACCAACACCTGTAGAGTGCAAGAGGCTCAGACCAAGGACCATGCATTAGGATAAAGGGGAGTAATGAGAGAATAAAAGAGAAAGGATACTGGGAGATGGAGGGGGACATCAACACCCAGGCTTTGCTGGTTTGGCCCTCTTCTGCAGACATCTGTAATGTGCCTATGTGTCACATTCACAGAGGGTGAAATTCAGTAAATAAAATATGAATCCCTAGACCATGGTAAGAAAGAAAGAGGTATTGGAAAGACAGAGTTTGAAGACCAGCTCCTTCATTTATTTGACAAACACCCACTGCTGCCTGCTACAACCCTGCCATGCCCTGAGAGACTGAAAAATTAGTAACACTCTGTTCCAGACAAAGTCTAGTTGTACACCCACTTGCTCCATTTGTAAGAAAATGCCTGATCAGCCAGGACCTGTGGATTTCTGTTATGCATTCCCTTCCTTATTCACCAGGATGAGTTCCTAATCCTACATCAGGAGCTCCAGTACCCCAGTTCTCTGGGACATCCTAGGGCAGCATATCACCACTCACAGTTCCTCTTTCCAATCCAGTTATTTAATAAACACATAGGTGATGCCTCCCATGTACCAACTACTATTCTAAGTTTATCCCTCACTAGAAACTCTTTGAGGTTGACATTCCTCTTCTATGGACAGGAAAAACTAATGTAAAGGACAGAAAGTGACTTGTTCATGCTTATACAACTAAAAACCTTGACACCCACACACAAAGGCATTTTAGTTCAAGGTCAGTGCTCATAACAACTATACCGCCACATCCTTTCTTCTGAAAAGGTAAAAAAAAAAATCCTCCAAGGACAGGTCCAGAGTCCAATTCCTGCCTGCATCACCTAGCCTCCCAGCACAAAACCTGACAGGGCCAGCCCATTAAATAAATATTGAACAAACAAACAAGAGGTAAGATCTGAACAAGTTAGGCAGGAGCCTAGGGATGCTCCAAAGTACGTGGAAACCACTAAGTAAGTCTTCAACAAAGGGTCCAGTGTAGGTGCTGACACTCACATAGCTGTTGAGCTCAGCAAGGCAAGGATGTGATACCTCGGTTTGATTTCTACCAATGTCTTCCTCCCCTAGGAAAAACTACAGGAGGGTGTAGGAAGGGAGAATTGAAGTGGATGCAGAGGCCAGGGGGTTGGCAAGTTGGCAAACAAAAGAGAGTCAGGAAGATCCCTTAGTGGGAGGAGAGGTCAGCCCACTAAGCAGTACCCTGGTCATGCAGGGTGACAGACTTGACCTCACCAAGGATGATGTTCTTGGCAATCTCCACACCCAGGCCCTAAGGGCCTGACATCAGCACACTGGATGACTGGAGACGCTTCATTGCCTCATGGCGCAGCACATACCTGCCAACTTAGGGAGGCTTCTGGGTCAGGGCTTGGCCCACAAGACTTCATCCTCTTTGTGCCTCCTCCCACCTGTCATTCCCAGCCTTGGTTCCACTTACAGTTGGTGGGAGTAAAGACCTTTGTCAATGTTCATTTCACTGCCGTTTTTTGGCATTCCCTAAGAATGGAGGAAAAAACAGGTTCAGGAGGGATAAGTAGTAGTGAGGTTTGAGCAGATGAACTGACCAATCACTCTACCATCCCACCTGCTGGTCCCCAAGAGAGAAGACACACACCTTACCTGCTCCTGAGGGCACTTCCAACATCACAGAGATGTGATGTGAAGGCAGGGGAGCAGTCAGAACCCAGCTTTGAATCAGGCTTGGAGACATGACGTTTGTTGGATAAAAGTGAGGTGGAATTCTGCAGGGAAAAAATTATCAGAGATGAGGCCCATTTGGGGAGGCTTTTCTGTCAGCGGTCATTCTGGGGGGAAGGGAGGAGTTTCTCTTTTTCGTCCTGTATCTGAGCCTGACCACAAAGTGGTATATGACAGGGAGGCCAGGTTCCAGACGATCTTCCACAGCATATTGTGTCTTTCATTCTTTTTTCTTTTTCTTTCTTTTTTTTTTTTTTTGTTTTTTTGTTTTAGCTTTGAAGGCTGACTCTGGGAAGAGTAAAACAGAGAAGGGACTGCGTGAAGGAAATGTTAGAGAAAGTTCTTTTTTAAAGAAAGTGAAGGCCAAACAGACCATTTCAGGGATCTGGCCCCGCCTGGAAGCTGTGAGGACAAATACTAGGGAAATATTAGCAACAGGGCTGATGAGGGTGGAAGAACTGAAATGGCATGCATTGATAAAGTGGCTACGATTGGGAACGCTGAAACTGGCGAAAAATGAAAAATCTCTCTTCTACAGAAGGACGTTCTAAATAAGACGCTATATCCAGAACGGGCGAGGTTCCTGAGACCCTGCAAGCAGATCCTGGAAGTACGGAATCCTTGCATCAGATATGTGAAGCCGGGGAAAGGACCGGGAAACGTCGGGGATCTGCTCTACCCGCCCCCGCTCTCCTCCCAAGCGGCCGTCCTCAACTTCAGCCCAGCCCAGAGCCGGGCCAGACTTCTCCAATACCCCTGGAAGCCTCTACCCAGGAAGGGACGCCTAGAAAAGCCCTTTGTTACCAATGCCAGTTCTACGGTTGCACCGCCACCCACTCCCCAAGGAACCAACGTCAAGTCGGGCCGCCACCCTCCTCCTACTTCTCCTCCAAGCCAACTACGCCGCGAGAGTTTCACCCTCCGACTTCCCCTTCCTGGGCCGTCGTAATTGCCACGGTCCCTTCCACACACTACGCTACACCTCCGTCATCTTTTACCCAAGCAACATGGCGAACGACCACCAGAAAATCAGGTTGCAGGCAGGCCACGCCCACTCCCGAATAGTGCATGTCCTACTCAGCCCTCTTGGGATTGATTTATTATGTACAGTGCGGGGCGGATAGGAGGAGAGCAGCCCCATGTGGTTAGATAGGGAAATGCGTTACCTCAGTGAGTAACTGAGAAAGCAATATCGACAAAACCCCACGCCTTTGCTCTGGAATTGTGCATGACACTAGGTGGCAGAAAACTCAGGACAAGTGCTGAAAAAGACTTGCAGCATAGGCAGATTAGACCAAAGGGGAAAAATTTTCTCGGACAGCTCATAAATCTTTAGCTGCATGTGTTATAAGAGTTTAAGATTCGTAATCTGCTACCAGGGCTTCGTGATTTCCACTACACATTCCTGAAGTTGATGCTTAACTAGGGACCGATGCCTTAGTTTCCTCTTCTATAAAACTGTGATAACAGCGTCCATCTCATATGGTCAGAATGAGTTATGAAGTTTAAAACATTACTTATACGTAAATTAGATAGGATGACAATCCAGCATTTGTAAACAGTTTAGAACCGTGTCTGGTATGGAGTAGACACCGAACGTCAAATCTAAACTAATACTAAATGTAGAATTACATAATTTAAATATTCTATCAATATAAAAATTGCTTATGAGCCGGGAGATATCCAGGCACCAGAGAAACCTTCCACTTGAGGAATTGTTTTAAAATAAAACCTGGAAACAAACTCCCAGGGAATTGCTGGAAAGGATAATGTTAATGCCACCTACACATGAAAAAAGAAAAAAAGGATATATATCCTCACAAAAACGTAGAATTCATCAGTAAAGTTATCTGATCCTACGTATTTCTTTGTGTGGTATTTTTTGATTACTAATTCAATGTTTTTACTTGTTGTAGGCCTATGCAAATTTTCTATTTCTTCTCCAGTTAGTTGCAATATTTCATGCCTCCCTAGAAATTTGACTATTTCATCTACGTTTTGTATTCCATTGGCCATTGTATACCTTACAATCTTCTTTATTTCTGTAAGGTTAGTAGTGATGCCTCCTTTTTATTTCTGTTTTTAGTAACAGAGACTGTTTCTCTTGTTCAGTCTACCTGAAGTTTATCAATTACATTAATCTTTTCAAAGTGCCAATTTTCAGTTGTGTTGATTATCTCTACCTTTTTTCCATTCTCTATTTTATTTCCCTTCTAATCTTTACTTTCTTCTTCTTTGCTTTGCAGTTTGCTCTATTTCTAATTTCTTCACGTGGGACATGAGGTTGAGTTCTTTCTTCCTCTGTGTGTACATCTTTATAGATATAAACTTTCTCTGAACACTTCCTTTGCTGCATCTCACCAATCTTGTTATGTTTTGGTCTCATCTTCATTCATTTCAAATTATTTTCTAATTTCACTTGTGATTTCTTCCTTTACCTCTTGGTTAATTAGGACTGTGTTAACTTCTAAATATTTACAAATTTCCAGAGTTTCCTTCTCTTATTGATCTCTTGTTTTATTCCATTGTGGTCATACTTGGTATGAATTTAAATTATTGAGGGTTGACCAGGTAATTCAGTTGTTTAGAGCACAGTCTTGTTAATACCAAGCTCAAGGGTTCAGATCCCTGTATCAGCCAGCTGCCAAAAATATGTAAGTATATAATAAATAATTGAGACGTTTTATGACCTAACATATGGCCTATCCTTAAGAATGTCTTATTTGATAACAGCAAAATGCGTATTCTGCTGTTATTGAGTCATGTGTTCTATAGATGTCTGTTAGGTCTAATTGGTTCATAGTACTTTTCAGATCTTTTACTTGTATTTCTTTGGTGATTTTTTGTTCTATCCATTATTGTTTGCTTTTTTTTTTTTTTTTTTAAAGATGACTAGTAAAGGGATTGCAACACTTAACTTGGTGTTTTCAGCACCACGTTCTCCCAAGTGAGCCACGGGCCAGCCCTCCATCAGTGATTTTTTGTTCTATTGATTATTGAGTGTATTATTGAAGTCTTCAACTAATACTGTTGAATCATCTATTTCTCCCTCCTCTTCTGTTAGTGTTTTTGATATCATATATTGTTAAGTGAACATGTTTATGATTTTTGGCATATGTCCTTTTTTTTCTTTCTTTATTAAAACATAATTGATTGTACATATCTGTGGGGTACTGCATTGAATATCAATACCTGTGTGCAATATGTAATGCTCAAATCAAGATAATTGGTTTATTTAACATTACATGATATAATCATTTTTTGTGGCCCTTTACCAATTACTTCCAAACTCTTTTCCCTCTTCCCACTTCTGGTGGCCTTGGTTCTGTTCTCTCCTTCTGAAACTTCAATGAATTATTGTGATTGTTGTATCTTTCTTGTTTAACTTATTATTTTTTATTTTATTTTTTTAATTTTCACTTATAAGTTGAGGACATGCAGTATTTTCCTCTCTGTGCCTGGCTTATTTCAGTTAATATAAATTTCTCTAAGTCCATCCATGTTGCTGCGAAGGGTAGAATTTTTTTTTTTTTTTTTTTTTTTTTTTTTTTTTTTTTTTTTTTTTTTTTTTTTTTTTTTTTTTTTTTTTTTTTTTTTTTTTTTTTTTTTTTTTGGTAACAGAGTAGCATTCCATTGTGTAGATATACCACATTTTCCTTATCCACACATCCAGTGATGGGCATTTAGGCTGGTTCCGACTCTTGGCTATTATAAATAGCACTGCAATAAACATGGTAATGCAGGTACCCCTTCAACATGACGATTTCCATTTCTTTGGGTACATACCCACAAGTGGGATTGCAGGATTCTATAACTATGTCCTTTTGTTAATATGTAATGTCCTTTTTTGTCTCATAAAATTTTTTGACTTAAAGTCTATTTTCAAAGCTGTTAGTATGGTCCTTATAGCACTCTTTTGGTTACTATTTACATGGAACTTCTTTTTCCATCTTTTTACTTAAAACCTATTTGTTTGACTCTGACATTTGTGGACAGCAGGTAGTTGGATAATGTTTTTTAAAAAATCTACTCTGCCAATCTCTTTTAGTTGTATATCTGCCAGTGTGCCACCTTTATTTCACAGTCATTTCTTCTACCATATATTTGTACAGTTAATTTTCTTAGTGTTTGACCCAGAGATTATAATTGCAATTTTAGATTATAACAATGGTTCTGGTTAATACCAGCTAATTCCAAAAGTATACAAAACCTTTGCTCTTATATAGCTCATCCCTCTTGCTTTTTGCCATTATTGTCACAATTTACTTTTTCATACATTATGTTCACATCAGCACAGATTTATATATACTGCTTGTGTTTTAAGTCAGATAGGATAAATAAGTTACTATATTAGTTTCTTATTGCTCTGTAATAAACTTCCACAAATTTAGTGGCTTAAAACTATACAAATTTATTCTCTTACAGTTGCATTGTCAAAAGTCCAAACATGTTTTACTGAGCTAAAAGTCAAGGTGTTAACAGGACTGGCTTCTTCTGGAGGCTCTATATATTACCCAGTCTCAAGCATTCTGTCATAGCAACACAAACGGACCAAAGCAGCTACTGTTTTCTTTTTTTTTTTTTTTTTTTTTTTTTTTTTTTTTTT